TATATGGAAAGTTTAAAATAGCCATGGCTGGATCTGTCTGGGCTTTATTTATTTATTTATTTATTTATTTATTTAATCTTTTTGTTTCCTTTCTCCTACCAGTGAGGGCTGAGGCATCAGTACTTGTATCTTTTAAAATCAGTCTTGGAGACTTCTTGCTTCTTTGTCTGTCCATTATGCTGCACGGGCATACAAGTTTGGGTGGGGCTGATAAACAGATCACCATACACCTTAATAAATATTTTCTGAAGGTCACCAAATAAATGAAGATTAAATATTATGGGTTTAACTGGCATTAAAATAAAAAAGACTGATTCTACATTCCTTTTAAGTTAGTAAATTGCATTACAAAATTAATTCATTCTTCTTGTCTGTATATTCTAGCTGTGTAGAATCTGTAATTTATGTATAACATCACTTGGAGAGGCAGAGAGAAGTCTCTTGGTAGAGCTCTCTGCAACAACTGGCTCCCAGCTGGGCAGTATAGTAGAGTGCAGTGGTTGCCAGCTTTATCTGTGCATTGCCATGTCTCATCTTCCATCTCTGGTTCTTGGGGGGAACTCTTCCTTCATTCTGGGCGTCCTGTCATTGTGTGGTATTATGTCTTACCTAGCCAAGAGTAAGCCTGGAGACTCCAAATGCTTGATTTAAGATACCTTGTTCCAGTACTGTTGCTTGGACTTACAGGAAGGAGCATGATTCAACACTTTTGGGTGGATATTAGAGAATCAGACTGAGAATTAAGCCAAGAGAGCTAGGCAGGTGAGGAGACTAAACCAACTGTGTGTGATGTGTACAAGATGACTTCCCATTAAGTTATGAGACATGGTCCCTTGTCATTTAGGATTGAGTGGGATTTCTGTAATGTGCAACGAAAAGCACCCTAATGGATATGACATATTTTCTCCCAACCTATGGGATTGTAATGTACACTTTGAATAAATGCTTACAATTTGAGTGACACACCTGAGCGCAAGACATACTTAGCTGAGAAGTTCATGTCAAACAAGTCTTTATTTTTCATGGTACAAATTAAAAGTGACAGATCTGAAGCTGTTAAGAAATACACAAAGTGCAGCTTTACGGACCATACAGATATTGCTCTAGATTAAGTACAGTTTTTATTTTTTATTTTTTTTAAACATTAAGCAACCTGTGCAGATAAGTCAGCTTTGGTTTCAATGTTAGAACAAGTAAGGAGCTTTTCAATATCCAGTTTGGCTTCTTGGTCACGAGTCTATCATGTCAATGTCTTGTCGGCATGATTTCTTTTTCCAGAACAACCCAGTCTATTTTCCTGCCCTCTCTCTTGCTGCCTGCCCCAGGCATAGAGAAGCAGATCCTTTGCAGCGCCTCATTAAGTGACCCTGGTGACCAGTCTAGATCACAGCACAGAGGATGAAATAATAAATTAAAACTAAAACTTATAAAAAAAAAATAAAACAAACGAACCAAAAAAAAAACCCACTTTTCAACAACAAATAAGCCAATGCGCCTCACAGAATTTCAAGTTGAAGACAAGCAAGTCACGTGACAAAAAGCTCATTACAAAATATTATTCAAACAGATTTTACAGTCAGACATGGAAATGAAAATCAATTTCCTTTTTCTCTGTTGTTTTTATGCTTGATCGTTAACTGGGTACAAGTAGAGTGCTGAGGTAAAACATTGATGAACAGTTTGTGGTTTGCTTTTCTTAAAATAGGAACAGTTTAGTATTGCAAGATTGTCAGCAACATTTAGCCGTATCTACACAATGTGCATATTCCTACACGTACTGAGCTTTGGTCCAGCGTAGAGAAGAGAGCAAAGGCAATCGGATTTCTTTTTGGTTACAGCTTGAGTTCTTTGATACGCCTCTACTTGTTTTGTTCTGCCTCCCCCAGCTCTTTGTTTTTGTTTTTGTTGTTGTTGGTTTTTTTTGTTTTTTTTTTGTTCTCTTTTGTGTTGTGGTGTGTGTGTATGTGACCATGTGTTCACGACAGAAAGAGTCCAAAACTTGCAAAGGCAAGTAAAACTTTTAACTATTCAAAATATCTTTTTGGTTGAAAGAGAAAACAACCCCCACAAGCAAGTGTAAAATACAATATCGGCTGTCATGTCTCATCAATAATGAAGAAAATGAAGATGACAACAATTTTAAATGGGTGAGAAAGACACAGAAGCTTGAAATACAATCACATACAACTAAAGTGGCTTTTGCTTTTTGTTGGTGGCAACCTTAACCTTCAGTTCATGGAAACATAAAAGACACTTAAATATTATTAGAATATGAAGTTGTTTACCAGAAGAAATAAGAAATATCTAATAAAATTAAGCAGTAGGCGTGGTCCTGAAGGCTTATGTGTTCCCAAGTATAGTTTATATTCCTAAGAATCTGTTCAGGCATCTTTTTTGCCTTGTAGCAAAAAATTCATCAGTAAAAAATCAATATAAGAAGCATTACAACACTATATAAATAATTTATAAAACAATACAAAATTATAAAACTATAAAAAAATCACTGCATGTGAATAGTTTTACAACCATGGGATGAATTCACTTCTTTTTTTTTTTTTTTGTTCTACTCTGGGTGATTAGTTTTATTTTATATTTTTACTATTCTAGTTATGCTCTCCCAATCATAGACCTCAGAACAGAGCAGGGCCTTGTGTGCCTGCTTCTGCTTCAGATTTTAAACATTTAGCATCCGTCATATGATATCTTGTTAACTTCTCTTCTTGGGGAGCTTTTCTTGATGGAATTTGGAGCAGGTCCTAGGAGAATACAAAATCTGTTTTAATCAATAAAGTTTTGGTTTCTGGGTTGCTGGTATTTGTGCAGCTTTTGCAGTTGTGAAATGCTACCATGATGTTGTTGGCACTAATCAGGCTGGTTGTGGTCCAATTAGAATCAGACTAGTGACATGGAGACACTGTTATTAATGACTCTATGTCCAGAATTATTGTTATTTAGTTTTATGATTGCTGATTGGACCATCTGAGGGGATGATTACATGCTCCCATTTTCATAACCAGTGAAGGAGCCAACAGAACAAAAATCTGGAACCCCTGGGTGGGAAGAGCATGCTAGGGGAGGAGACAGTCTTTGAAATCAACTGGGCAACTGGAGGTAGGGATTCTTTTTCCCTTTCATGATTTCCTTCTAGACAACACATGAGCATGCTTTGTAACTACTCATGAGTATTTACATTGATGGTTCTCTCTTGCCTGCTTTGATTGAACCCTCTGCCCTCACCTGGGTGAAAACACCAGCAGGCTCCAGGGGTTTCTTTGCCCTTCATTCTGTGACCTTCTTGGGTCTCATGGCCCATGCCTTGGGGAGGCTCTTTTAAAAGTGAACTATTATACTAACGGTGAAGGCTCTTCTGATGTGTTTTATAAGCTACTTGTATGTTTTTCCTTTATTGGAGAGCCTTTGCTGCTACACTTCTTTCCTAATCAAGAAGCCAGAGCCTAGTTCCAATTGCTTAAATTTGCCTGTCACATTTCGATGCCATTTATATATCCCAAGAACAGATGTACCCCAGCTCCAAATGTCTGCCAACACTGTTTGATGAAACAAGTAGCAGAAAAGACGAGGTTCACAGGACACTCGGCAGCCCCAACAATCTAGGTCACCATCATTTTCTTTTTTATTGTGGTCTCTCTCTTTGTGTGAGGTGGATGAGTATGAATGTGCTTGTGTGCATGTGTGTTGACTGAAACCTTGAGACATTTCTTTGGCTATCAGACTTCTGAGAGAATTTGCTTTGAACAGAAGCATAACACAGATGTAAGTATTGAACCATATGTGCAGCTTATGTTTATATTACAGAATTAATTTTGATCAGCTCTCCACATATGTGGCTAGTAGACTGAGAAGAATCCCAATCTCTGGTGTGGACCATGAGCACAGTTACAGCCTCTGTCGGTGTTGACAGTCATTTAGCAGACAGACCTAGTTATCCTGGAGTGTCTCCTGCATTTCTGCAGGATTGGATTGGGAAAGAAATTGTTCCTTCCCACTTCTGCTATCTTCCAGAAGATCCCAGGAGCCACATGAAAGAGAGTAAGTAGGGAGGAAAGGGAGGTCTGAGCTCTGTTTTCTTTCCCAAACCTACAACTCCTAGTGAGAAGAAAGCCATGAATGCTTTGGCACACAATCCAGGTTGTTTCTCTACTCCACCACCCGCCTAAAATAAAACAAAAAAGGAAATGACACAATTCAGAAAACAGAACAAAACAACAACAACAGAAAAGGAAGCTACTTCATCTGCTAAGAAGCAAATTGGTAGCTGGTGAGCCACACAGAATGTTTTCAACAATGGCATCCACCCTGGTGGCACAGACAACAGGAGAGAAAGATGGGAGAAAGTGGGCTTCCCACTTTTCTGTTGGTACAAATGTAAAAATTCATAACAACTTTTTACGCAGAGGCGAGTAGACGAGCAGTAACATTTGCAGCTTCCGACTTTGGTTAATAGGGTTTGCAGTGATCAGCACTTAGTCCCTGAAGGGATGCAGTTGCTCCTCCAGGTGGCAGGCTTGCATTCGCTTTGAACAGATACAAGTTAGTGTTGGTGGATTGTTTGTTTGTTTGTTTTTGTTCTTTTTTTGGTTTAGTTTTTTTTCTTTTCTTTTTCCTTAAAAGGTGTTCACATTTTCATCATATACAGAAAAAAGTAAGTGGTTATTTGGTTTGCTTTAAAAAACTGGCTTTAGGGAAACAGGTGAGGGAGCGAATGATCCTACCACATACTCCTTCTTGTGGTATTTTTTCCTGTTTAAAAATTTAAAATTTCTTTTTTTTTTCCTTATGGAAAATCAACGGACACGTATAAACCATTCTGCCCATTTGGTAGTTTTTGTTTTCTAGTCTTTTACATACAAGAGAAATGATGACTGGGATGGGGGGGGGTGTCTTTAAATTCTTTCTTCTTTTCTTCCTTCTTTTTTTGTGGAGATTCAGGGTAGTGCTCAGTTTCTGTGATGCTTCCTTCTGACCGTCAATGGATGTGTCTAACAGTTTTCTTCCGGAGAGTCTGCTAAGGGCTCCAGGGGGACCGCAGAGGTGGGCTCGTGCTGCTTTAAGCGTTTGATTGTGTTCTTCAGAGCTTGTCTCTTATTGCAGAACCAAACTCTAACTACTTCCCGGTCATAGTTTAGCTTCTCAGCAATCTCGGTCATTTCCTGCCCTGAGGGGTGTGTGTTCTTCTCAAAGTGGGCATTGAGGATCTCAAGTGCTTGGGGCGTGAAGGAGGTGCGCCGCTTGCGCTTTTTGGATGGCTCACTCCCAATAAACTCCGTGAGATTCTGCATACCTGCTCGATGGCGGGCCTCAGCCTCAGCCATCCACCGCTCAAGCACCGGCTTGATCTTCTGGGCACTTTTAGGGGTGATGTCCAGCTTTTCAAACCTGGCAGGATACAAAAGGCCAGGGTTCAGTTTGGCTGTCAGACTGCTAGCTATAGTGTTCTCTTGGGCTTCCTGTGGTAGGAAAAAGTGGCTTCTCAGGATGGTGTGTCTGGGGGGAGAATTGAGAAAGAACAGTCTTACACTGAGTCCTCTGCCAGGGTGGGCCTCCTGCCTGCCTGCCTGATTGCCTGGCAGGGTGAATTCACTCCAGATTAGCAGCCAGCTGCAAGGTAGCCAGCCCTGTCCCAGCCAGCACCCACCCTCCCGTCAAGCTCCATGCCAGCCATGCAGATCCCCAGGCACACAGACAGGGGAGGGAGAAAGAGGCACCGGTGTACAGGAAACACAAGCAATTCACAGGCCTTTTTGCTCTGAACTCTTGAGATCCAAGCTGTTCCCAGCTTTATTTCCTCAACCCTCAGAATTCTTAAGGGAGAAATTAACCAAGACAGGGATGTTTGAGATAACTGTTGTCATATTCTTTCACTTAAAATAATTGTGTTTTATGTTTGGTTTTCCTCTTCATTGTGTTGGTTTTGGAAAAATGCTACAGCTATTATCATTGTCTGGGAAGGCTACTGGGCCAGGCTCCTCCTCATGCCGTTCTTTCTATCTCCCCTTGTGTCTTATTTTAACTTCTTTCTCTCTGGTAACAATTTTCCCCATATGTAAGTTAACAACATGTCTCCTGTCCAGGTAAAACATAGACCAGTTGTTACTTTACAGTTCTGGCCTAAACAGCTGGATACATTGTAATTACTATGGAATACCACACCCCTGGATGGGCTTAGGCCACCTCATGCCTTCCAATCACCATCCAGTGTAATGGTGCACTTTTGTACCAGGGCATCACGCTGTGTTTAATGTAGGATATCTGCAAACTGTACTTGAATGATATCATTTTCTGTAAATGAGGTCTTCTATATATCAATTGCCATCAGCAATTCTTTGCTACGTTTACTTTAAAAAAATATGAAGGATCCTGGACAAAATTATATAGAGTGTTTTAAAAAGTCCTTTCTGGTACTAAATTCATTCTGTCAGTAAAATACAAAAGAGGACCAGCTCCCTTTGTTCATTTGTTTCATTATTCTAAGTCCAAATTCATGTCCCTCCTATTGAAACAGTGAGCACAGAGTTTTTCTCTCTTAAAGTGTTCCACGTTGTTGAAAAGCAATCATCTGGTGTTTTAAGATGCTTGCTTGCAAAAGGATAGACCAGGAAGGCCTTCCTGTTTGCCAGGATCTGACTGTCAGAGTGCATCTTTAGATCCCTTTGTTGAGATGAGCAGCTCACAGGCTAGCAAGGGTTTAACTCAATCTCACTCCCTCCCAGTCAGGGAGGCATTTGTGTACCTTTGAAAACTGTAGCTTCTTCTAGCACTCACTAAGGAAGGGGAAGCTGGCTGCTCTCAGGGCAAGGTGAGCTAATCACTTAGTATTATTAATAAGTTTATCACCTGTGGCAGGCTCCCCATTGTGATAAGTTGCCATGTTCTGCATTTTGCCATATCTTTCATCCTAAAGGCCTGGAGCTTGAGCTCTTGAAAGCAACTAGCCTCACAGGGTTGTGCTGCCAAGGGGCGTGAAGGGGAGTCTTCCCTTGTGTCTCTGATAAGAAGGTTCTCACACTGCACCTAGGAGTCACTGCAGCCAATTAGCACAGAGTGACACCTTGGCACTGATGTGCATTCTTTCCCAGCCTTTGAACTCACTGAGAATATTCCAATGTAAACTCTCCATTCAAGACTAATAATTAATTAATTAATTAAGTAGGATAGACAGCTTCTAAAACAGCATCATTGAATAGCCAGAAACTGGATAAAGGATACAGGCCCTGAAGTCCGGGTGTCTGCCCTGTTAACCAATAAGAAATTTCCAGAGGTCTGCAATTTACAGCATTTTTAGCATCCCTCTGGGGAAGATTTAACAAATCAGCATATCTGATTGGGGATGCCCAGGAATCCGTGTTTGTGTATGTGTTGAAAGATTAAGAAAACACTCCAGTCGATAAAAGAAAATCACATTTTAGGGCTAATATAAGCCAAAGAGGAATTTGACAACAATGTCAAATTGGCGTCAAAATAAAAAAACCTGTGGCTTTTTTGATCACAAGGCATCAGGACCAGACAAAATTAATGTCTGCCGACAGGGAGCAACAATGTTCCCATCATTGATGCTGCTTGTTAGCATTGATGCTTCTGTATGTGTTGTTTGGAATAACATATACAAGCCGTGATACAAATTTCCCAGCAGTAGTATCCTTGTATAGACTGAATAAAGGTTATTTTCTACAGGGAGGTATCTTATAAGAAAAAACAGTAGGGGAGACCATAGAAGTGAGAGGATCCTATGGTGCTTTTTGTATTTAACAACAATCAATGGGTTTTATGGAAAATCATTGAGCAAAATGTGAGCTGCAAGCTACCACCCCATACTGATGTTATTTATAACCTTAGTCTTAAACTGCAGGAAAAGTACACTTCTGTCCTTTGGGGAATACATTAAAAGTATAAAGAGCAGATAAAAAGACAGCATTTCATGGATCACCAAGAACAAAATCCACTTAAATGAGTTTAGAGTTGGTTTCTTGGCTGTTCCTGATGGAGGAGGAGTCCTAAGGCATTGCCCAAGAGGAAAAAGCTCCCACCGAGTGCCTCGTTACCTCATGCATAAACATAGGATTAGAGCAACACACATGCACACATGGGGCTCCTGAAGACTTAACCCAGATCAACTCAAACACAACCAAGGCTGGATTCAGTAATTTATTTATTTAATGTGTGGTTGGGGGTTTGGTACAGTTACGCAAGATTCATTGACATTTAAAAGGGCTCCTTCCTCCCTTCCTTCCTTCCTTCCTTCCTTCCTTCCTTCCTTCCTTCCTTCCTTCCTTCCTTCCTTCCTTCCTTTCACCTTCTCTTTTCCCTGCTTATTAAGATGTGTCTGGGAAAGCAAGCTATAAAAATTCCTTCCACGAGATAGAGAAATTCGTTAAAATGTGCATTTCATTGAAAATTTGGAGTCATCTCTGGGTAGTTAACAGTAGAGTGGACTAGCAGCTTTGCTTTTACTTAGGGGTGCCCGTGTGTTGACAGGAGTTGGTATTCTTTTCTGATAGGGGCATGGAGAAGGGAGACCCCTGGCCAGGGCAGCATATTTCAACTGGTCAGCCTTGGAAGTTCTTAGAGTTGATAGGAGTTAGGAGGCCAGGACCCCTCAACTCTGCATCGGCACCCCACTTTGTATCAACATCACAAGTCCCAACGTACAACTACCCCAGTTCTTATTTCCATGCTCCATTTGTCCAGTTTGCCACCCAAAGAAGACAAGCTGAGCTGCAAGGACAAACAAGGCCCGGGCTGGCCAGGACAGGTGACAGCATGCAGCGCCCGTTACCTGCAGATGGCCGACTGGCTGTATGCGGGGCCCTCTGTAGCACTGAGGGCTTGTCCCACCTGAGTCTGTGTCAGGCCAAGGGACAGGCGTCGGATTTTAAAAGCTTTGGCAAATTCTCGGATCTCCTCCAGATTAACCCCGTCCACCTCACCCGCTGCGGTTTGAGGATCTGTGGAGATGTTTTTAAAATAGGATCAACATGTCAACACACAGCCAGTCAGGACATTTATCACTGAGCAGCCATAGAGTAGTGGGGAAACCATCACAATACCTTCTTTGTCTCTCATCCTTCAACACACCTTCCTGCACAAGCCATCCTTCAAGACACTTCTATCCCAGTGTAAGCCACTCATGTTTACCCTGCCACTTCCCAAAGCAAGGGCACAATTCTTTAGGGCTTAATAACAGCAGCCAGCAAGGGGATGCTTTTGGTAGAGGGTTTCAGACCCACTCTGCTGGTAAGCCCATTCATATACAGTGCAAAGACAAACACAAGAAGGTCTCTCTTTGAAATGTCTTAATTGGAATTCTTCATGCTAACAATTGGCCACAAAGGAAACGGCGCACTCTGTGTTTTTCCTTCACCTGATCGCCATGTAGCCAGGGTAATAGATGGTAATCTTGCCTCATTTCTTATGTTCACACTACCTCTCAGAAGAGCATGGTTATGAAGCTGTGAGAAGAATATTGTCTTTTTTCCCCATAGCGGTTTTACTGACACAGCTGCCTTTGTCCCCTGAAAGGGCACATAATAAAACTTGCCTACCACAGGAAGACTCCTTTGGTGCCGGATAACTCGGTCAATTTAGGACTTATCAAGGGAAATGACACAACAGCTGGAGAATGAAACTTTCTCCCCCCTGGCTACTGATCCCTGGATAAATGAAAGTGTTCACCAAGCTGGCGCCAGCATGGGCTAGGCCTGGTGGGAGATTTCAGTGCAGCTCAATGCTGCCTGTGGGGAAGTCACTGCTGCTGCAAGCCTTCTTTCTATTGTTCTTCACCTCACTCTTCCCAGTCAGCTGAAAGTTGCTCTTCCTCCTTCTGCACAGCAACTCATTAGTTTATGTGAATTTCTGCTCTTGTCCCAGGACCGTGGTACTCTTCTGGGCTTAATGCTATATACTCTCTGGATGTTACATTTGCACCCTAAGTGACAACTTTAAAGGCACTTTTAAGTAAGGAAGGTGTATCTATGTGTCTGTTGGGAGGGGCCTAGAACACTATGTATAACTTCTCTCAGCACAGGGGAGTAATCCCACCAGGCAATGCAAAATATACTGTCCATAAAAGGAGTAATACTGGTATACATTGTACATTTATCTTCACATTAAAAAGAAACTAGTCAGGTACAACGGTACCCGTGTGTGGTTCTGAAGCAAGAGGGTAGACTGAACCCCAGGGGTCCATGGCCAAACAGGGTAACTCAGCAAGACCATTGAAGAAGACCTTAGAATTTTCATAGCACCGGACCTCAGTTCATCACGGACTAGGGGGCTTTGGCCACTGCAGTTCATTTGTAAGTATTCTAAAGTGACTCCTGGCTCCTCAGTAGAATGTAGGAGGCATATTCGTATAGTTTGATGGGGTTTGGAGGTCTAATACTAAGGCACAAAATAAAACCTACAGAAAAACAAGAGAATCATCAGGATCGGGTGATGGAGTGTGACTTGTAAGGGTGGGCCCCATGCTTAGCAGTAGATGGCTGCACAAAACAAACTCCATGGCATCTTTGGAAGTTTTTAAATTTTTTATTTTTTTAATCTAACAGGTCTTTCATGTATACGTTGTGGGTTGCCCTGGTGCTGTTTGTATTTTGATGTTAATCCTGTTTCCTCAAGAGAGGCTGCCCCTGACGTGGTGGAGTAGATCATGTACTCAGGTGATCTCACTGAACCTTCTCTCCATTCTGACTGGTCAAATAAAAGCTAGAGCCTGTGATTGGGCAGTGGAAGGAAAAGGTGTGGGACAGGAGGACAGAGGAAGAGGAGGTGGAAGAGGATGGAGCAGAACTACACGGCCTGGAGAAGCCACAGGTAGCAAGGGGGGTCTCATAACTGGGGACTAGAGTAGTATGATAGATGTGCCCAATCTAGACATATAGCTTAAAATATAACTAAATTTTGTTTTTTATATGGGCTTATTGGGGTAAGAAATTACCACAGCATGTATATATTATTGTTTGAGTTTTGTGTTTTTATAGAATTTCCTTTGTGTGTGTAAATGGGTGCATCTCTGTGTCTGTTTTTCTTGTGATTTTTACTTGGCTGTTTTGCTTCTGGTTTGTCTTTATTTTATCATTATCCTTGAGATGCCCATTTGTATTTGTATGGATGTGGGTTGGAGGGGAAGTGGAGAGGGTCTAGGAGGAATTGGGGGAGAGGAAACTATAATCAGAATATTTTACATGAAAAAACCTATTTTCACTAAAAAACAAAAACAAAACAAAAATATTCATCTTCTTACAGAATATAAAGGCTTTGCTTTGTGAATAGAAGAGGCACATGGACTGGAGAAGGAGCACATCCAAGTGGGGAACATTTCAGGGTAGCAGATTGAGAGTGTATATGTATGGGCAGGGCTTGGAGGGTTTTTTATAAAATTGATTTAGATAAGATGAATTAAAGTACTGCTTTTCCAGCACCCCTGCCCAAACTTCTTTCTAGAAACCTGACATTCAGTTAATGCAAGATGTGTTTGGGTATTTTGTGATGGAGACTCTCCTCTGAATTTGAAATCTCACCAGCACAGCAGTATGGAGTGGCTTTCAGGGTTCACAAAGAATTCTGGGATACCACATTTGCACACATGGCAGTCTCTAGCCCTTATTTCTTCATTAAAATGGGCCTGGAAGGGGGGCTGCAAATGAGCAGCATGGAAGGCTCACACATATTTTGAATTACTTGCCAACAATATAAAAAGGGATTTTAAAGGAAAAACAAAATTTCTATGCTCTTTCGTGTACACAAGGCCTGCATGTGCAGTAGTTTGTCCAGTCACCTGGAATCAATTCTCACTGCCTCTCTGCTCACATCTGCTCGCTGTCCAAGAAGAGCTGTGAGCCTGACTTTAGACTGGGCATTCTTGCTGCTTGGTTCTGGGGCTTAAGCAGGAAATGCTAGGTAGCACAGTGGCTGTCATATTCCAAGGCCACAAAGTACAGGACAGATTTACAGCATATCTGTGTAAGGACAACAACAAAAAAAGTCTTTCATGTGGAAGGGAAAATTATCAGGAAAAGGTTATAAGCGTCCACTTGCAAGAGGAGAGAGGCAAAAATTTAGTAGCTGAGGGATCCTAATTTAGAATAGAAAGAGGCACACTCTGTACCTGCTGATACAGAATGGTAGAGGGAAAGGAAAGATTGGCCTAGTCTCCAGTCTCTTTCAGAAATGGTGAAGCATTTGGTAGATTTGCAGGAAACATTGAATGCTCAAAACGCAAAAAAGAAAAAGAAAAAAAAAAGGAGGAAGAAGCCAGAGACTTTCTTTGCACAAACATGGGTTTTAGAACAGTGCTTTTCTTAATTTGGCAGGTTTGAGTCACCTGGTAGGGCCAAGGGCACTTTTCCCAGTTAGTATGGTGCAGGGGATCTGCCTGCCTCTGCATCTGTCTCTACCGAGTCTGGGTGTGGCATCACCGCAGTGCCACTGTTTTCTGAAGCCATTCGTGTTCTCATCCAGCAGGCTTCAGGGTATAGAAAAACCTGGTGCTCAGTGTGGAAGACCGATGAGGCAGACAGTCCTGCTGAGATGGGGCTCATGAGAGAGGCCTCCCCTTCTTCCTTTCCTCCCTGCATAGGACAGGGACAAAGCTGTGACTTGGTGGGACAGGAAAGCCAGTGTGTTTTGCGATTGGGGGAGAGTTTTTTCATTGTCAGACTAGATATCTCTGTGGGAAACAGCCCTCTGACTTTTACTATTCCCATCTCTAGATTAACCAAAATCAGTTGTTAATTAGCACAGGAAGGGTTGGTTTTTATGGAAAGCCTTCCACAATTTACCTTAATACCGATCCTAAGCTGCTAGCACATACGTGCACACACACACACAGAGACACACAGTGCAATGTTGGGGAGAGTTTGGGACATGGTCAGCAATTTTACATAAATTTATCCTTTCATCATTTTTCTCCTCTATCACCTCTTTAGTTGATAACTCCTTGCTTCTCAACCCTTGGAACTAAACCTGCCCTTGTGATTGTTTAGTTTTCTTTTCTTCTCTCGCCCCCCCCCCCCATTTTTTTAAAACTCTATTACTAACAACAATCAGGGTTAAAGAGAACACTTTGGATTCTGAAATTCCATGTGCTGAGAACTGTTGGCATGGATGTCAGTTGTCCACGGAAGAGTTGAGAGAAGTTAGTCCCAGTCATATGCCCAGTGTTTTCCATGAGCTCCAATGAACATGCTTCTGGTTTTACATGAAAACAAGAAAAGAAGGTTTTTCTTTAATTATTTTCTTACTCATATAAGTTGGATAGCAAAGTACATTGCATGGTTTGCCCCACAGAAGTTTTTTCATCCAAAGAGAAGAAGTCACTGTTGGACATTTGCTAGCTGTATCTTGATTATAGGTTTGTGGGACTGGTCTCAGACATTATTGGGAAACTTTAGGAGGTTCTTAGGTATTCCTTAGTTTCTCAGCTGACTGTGCTGCTGTTTCCCTGCCTCAAAGTTTGTCTTAGACTATCTGGTGGTTTTACTGTTGCAATGGGATATGTGTTATTCTACTTGAAGAGGAGCAAAAGGTGTGTATGTGGTGAGTGGAGGCTTTCCTAGGTATTTCTTCAGCCCTCAGGCTAGCTCAGCAGGGAACGTTCCACAGTGGGAAAGATCAAGGCTGCTTCCACTCTCTTGCTCTTAGAGGAAGTTACAGGTAGTTTTGAAGATGATCTGGGGTTGGCTTGATTAGAACCACAAGAGGAATCTTCAAGGGATTCCTCAAAATGGATCAAGAAAGTTTAGTCAGAAAGCTAGGGTAAAGATTCTCTGGAGGGAGGATGAAGTAGTACCTTTTGTAGAAGTTGTCCAAGATTCAGTCAGCCCCGACACAAAATAGAGTTCAGAAAGGAATAGCAGTGATGGACAGTCAACTTAAAAGTGGCCATGCTCTGCAGAGGGAATTCTGTGACCCTGACTCTATAGAGGAAATCATCAAGGATTTAAGGAATATTGGACTTGGAAATTTTCAGGGATTCAAAAGTATGATGACTAGTTCCCACATCCAAACAGAATGCAAGGACGTGAAAAAGCAGAGATTTTTTGTGGAAATGGAATAAAAACTGTGTGAGAACAAACCTATTTTGTACATAGCATCTGGGCCCATGTGGAACTGAGGCTCAGTATACTCCAGGACAGATGTTGCTGTGATTCTTTCCCTCCCTCCCTCCCTCCCTCCCTCCCTCCCTCCCTCCCTCCCTCCCTTCCTTCCTTCCTTCCTTCCTAGTTCCATCTTGCTGTTAGCCTTGGCATTTGTGTAGCGTTCTGCTAAATAGTTGAACATATCACATATCAACATCCTCCTGCTATGATCCCTGCTTACAGAATCATCATAGGCACGAAGTGTATGTTTAAAAGAAATTGTCCAAAGCATGAAAGAAAATCCAAGAGAAACAGAAACAATCATCAGCTCTTCACATTTTCTCATAGCACAGAGTGGGTGTGCTTACCCAATAGTTCTAAAAATGGACAAACTATTGGAGAATGGAAATGTGGATTGGAAAGAGGCCCTTGCATCATGGTGATATCACTGGGCTTTATCCGATTTCTCTATGCGACAAGCTGTCCCTATCTTTATGGTTCTGCTTTAGTTTTGAGGCAGTGACTAGCAATCTTTTGCTAAGAGTCAAGCTTACAAGTCAGGAGTTTTATTTATTTATTTATTTATTTATTTATTTATTTATACCAGTATATGAAGAACAGTTATGAAAAAGACAGCCCCTTTCCAGCAGTTAAAACCTCAAATCTACCTATTTTAAAATTAGTACACTGTAAATTTCAAACCAAGCTGGAAGTTTTATAAGATAGTCATTGATTTTTCTTTTAGATTTTTCTAAAAGTCCAGCTTAGAGCTGAGGAGATGGCTTCGTAGATTTAAGCTCTCACTCAAGCATGAGGATCCTTAGAACCTATGTAAATACCAGATGGGAATGGTGTGCTGCCTGCAGCTCTAGCCTCAGAATGCAAAGATAGGCAGAGATGGGCTTCCCAGAGGAAGCCAGCCACTGAGACTAGTCATAGCTTTGAGTTCTGCTTTGACTGAGAGATTCTACTTACTAAGGTAGAAGATCTATCAAGGAAGATCCTAGACATCAACCTTGGTTCTTCACACTCATATACACACATGTGCCCATGCACCTGTACACACACATGCACCCATATACAAGTGAACACATATGCACATGCCATAAATGCATACACATGAAAATAAAAGATCAGCTAATAGAAGCAGTGCCTATCTGAGCAGACTGAGCACAGTGTAGCACAAGGGAAGGTTATCAGGCTACAAGGCTTTGACATGGCTGCTTACTTGGTTACTCTGAGCTCAGATGTGGAGTTCATCACCAACAAAGGTCGTTTGATCATTGTCAAGGGATTATCTGGGGATTCTTTGGCCCAGAGTGAGCAAGATATTTTAATACTAATTTTTAGTTCATGGAACATTGGATAGCACCTTCTGACTGTGATGTGGAGGGTTCACTATGATTCCGATCAATGTTTGTGTGATATTGTCATATAAGAAATATATTCTTGGTCTTTGTGTCCAGAGCATAGCTCCCAAAGCCCTTATAGAGTCTCAAGGAATTATAGGAACTCTATAATTCTTCTTCTAATTGTTTTTTGGTTCCCAAATATACATCAAAACTTTTTCGTATTTCTTCATTGAAAGGAACTTTTTTTTGGTCCTAATTAGGTGACTATTAGTTGATTCCTGGGTAGCTTTAGGAAAAGGTGGGTCATTAGAAAAACAAACTATGACTCAAAACAAGAGCCTCTGGGCTGGTGAGCACAACCATAAGGTGTGTGTGTGTGGGGGGGTGGCGTTTGCAGGGACAGAAGTTTCTGCACTCGTATCTTCTTGGACTTTACTCTGTGTACTTCTTACTCAGAAGCTGTATCCTTTAACGTGTGCTTCATGACGCACTGGCAAACATGTTTCCCTGAAATAAGCCATTATACCAAATCATTGAGCTGGAAAGGGATGTACTTTATAAATATGTGACTCATACGTTCCTTTTGTGATTGGGTTTTGACACAGAAGGGAAATAACTAAAAACACACCCCAAATCTATAAAGGTTGTAAGTTCAGCACTGCACAAAGTTGGATGCTTACTGATGCTGCTAGACTCTTATGCAGGGAGGGTCTACGGTTGGTATGGGCTCCTTCCTACTCAGGCTCTGCTTATGGGTGTCATTTCTTCTGCTTCCAATACATGCAAAAGAAATATTTCCCTTTCCCAAGTCTTTTATTTTGCTGATCACTCATCATTAATTGAAATGCAATTAATGTAATTGAGTTCCACTTGGCCTGTTAAATAGCTTCCTTACCAATTTCTAAAACAGTTAAGTCTTCTTTGTTCAGTAGGACCAAGTGGCCAGAGACAGCCAGTGTCTGTCTGTCCATGCAGCCTTCTCTCCATCCAACTACCATGTTGAGTATAATGCATTTGTAAGACTGCATTAGTGGAGTGGTTTTGCACTTTTATATTACATGCAATTTTTTTTCTGTATTGAATTTTAATTCCTTTTTCTTCAGGACCAAATTTTAACAGCTTACTCTACACACACACACACACACACACACACACACACATACACACACACACACACACACACCATTGCCATTGCCATTGCCATATAAGATGGGGTGTTTAAACACACAGAGAATTGAATTCAGGTAGAATTTGAATCTTTTCCTACAACAGCCATATGAGGCATTTCCTTATAAAAAAAGATGAAGAAATAATAAGATTAACTTTATCTATGAATTTATGAGACAAAGGTTTATAGTCAAATACATAGAGTTATATGTCTAGATAGATTAAAGGGCAAACTCTCTATGTCTCTATGTCAAATGTGTTGAGCCACATTTGAGACCAAGAGTGTCCCGGCCAGTTACCTGAAGGGCCTGGGCATTGTAACAGCCTTTCCGGGTGTCTCATTCCATTTCCTCCAACTCTCAACATCTTTCTAGTCTGCATTATCTATGTTGTTCAACATGCAAGCTTTATTTTCCTTTGGGGAGCATCACCCTGCATTACCAGACCTGCCCGGTCTTTGTGAAGATCCCCAGACTCTGGCTTTAACAGGTCTTTCTCTGTTCTTCACTGACACAGGCATCCCCACATTATGTCACAAGTGCCCATGCAGCGACTCGGCTTTTTAAATCCATGACTGTTGGACACTTGATTCCTGTAGGATTGCGTTCTGCATATATGTGTATACTGTCTGATTTCTTATGAAAAATTAGTAAAGGTTGTACAGAAGTGAGTAAATGATATGTAATCAGACCATTGTCCCATGCATCACTGTATGCTTCTGTTTGCATGTAACAGATATGCTGGCTTCCCTGGGAAGATATACCAATTCCACAGACCATATATACCACAACTATAGCCACTTTATTAGGGAGGCAGACTTCAGGCTTGCTTTATTTTGTGAATGGTTGTTTGGAGATGTCTGTGTGATTCCAGCCCACACAGCAGCCTCCATGTGTCACTGAAGGTGGCTCATTGTTCACTCACATGCCCACCCACAGGCATGCTCTCCTTTATTTCCTCTGACACCTACAGACAGAGTGGCAGGGGAATTGAAACACAGAGGAAAGTGGCTTGACCCTCCGGCTGAGTGCCTGTTGTTGGTTATTTCACCTCAGAGCTGTTTGCCCAGGCCTTGCAAGCTGATCAGCTTCTACCTTTGGAAGTGGCAGGTCTGACTCAGCACACCAGAATCCCCTGAAAATGAAGCCTGCTCCAAGCCTTCACTAATGCAGGGGTGTGCTGTGGGGGCCAGCTGCCCTAAGGAGTCAAATGGCCTTGAGCAGACATCATTCCAATATTGGCCTAGTAACCCTAGAAAATGAAGGAGAGAGGGAGGAAGGAGAGAAGCAAAGAGAAGAGAGGTGAGAGAGAGAGAGAGAGAGAGAGAGAGAGAGAGAGAGAGAGAGAGGTTTTGCAGTAGGCAATAAAAAGGTCACCATGATTAAATGGAGCCAGAAAGAATACTTACTGCTGACTAACTGGCCCACGCTCAAAGCTGAAGAAGAGGAGGATGAAGAGGAGGAGGAGGAAGCCTGTCGCACGGGACTTTGAGAGGTGGATGCTTGGCCATGAGCCAGGTGCAGAAGGTTGCCTTGGGTGCCTGCTTGACCCACTGATGTCTGGGAAGATTGGTGAAGCTACACAAGGGATGTAAAAACAAAATACAAAATGAATGGAACATTGTGGGAAATGCTAGGGAACGGACATTTCGTCTGGGGTTGATTCATTTTATTTTCACGAATGCAGTGTCTACTTCTTGGGAAGAGCACTATACCCAGGCAGGATTTACTTTTTGTGTATATAATATGTTGTTGCTCGCTTGACAGGCATTTTATTAGAAATTCTAAATATATTATTAATTCCCTACTTGGCTTGCCAGAATACCCAATTTTTGACATTTCTCAGCTATAGTGTGTGACTAAACTTTTTCCTGCCTGTTTACACAATTGCCACACACCTGGGAGGTTTCTCAGGCTGGTGTAGAATGAAACAACACAATTCAAATGCAAAGCTCAAACTTAAAGTTGGGTCTGTGCCCATCATTCAAAGAACTGTTAGTTTAGGGGAGGTTCCAGTTAAAGCTGGCAGCTCTGCTCTCTCGATTCCAGTTTTGGGTGTCTTAGGCAAAACTGATAACATGCTTTCTACATTTTCTAGAAGTCTGGTAATCAGAGCAAGGACAGACTATCCCATAATATATGAAGTACTCAGTTGCTACTTTTATGGGAGGCCGAGAGGGGGTTTCTCTATGTAGCAATGGGTATCCTGGAACTTGCTCTGTAGACAAGGCTGGCGTTGAACTCAGGGCTCAGGGATCTGTTTGCCTCTGCATCTGAAGTGCTGGGATTAAAGGTGTATGCCACCACAGTCAGCTTGCTACTTTCTTTCTAAAGATATTTATTTATTTATTTATTTATTTATTTATTTATTTATTTATCTCTCTGTCTCTCTGTGCGTTTGTGTGTGTTTGTGTGTCTATGCACGTGTTCATGCAGATGCCTATAGAGGGGTCAGAGCCCTTGGAGCTGAAATCACAGGCATTTGTGAGTGAACTTACATAAGTCCTGGGATCCAAATGCCAGTCTTTCTCGCAGAGCAACACATACTCTTAACAACAGAACCATCTCTCTAGCCCCTTAGCTTCTTTCTTACTCTGTGCTAGCTCCTGGGTTAAGGGTATATTCATAGCCTCTTTAACTGAATTATCACACTACTGTTGTCTCCATAGAGGGAAGCCAGGGCAGGGAGGACCTGAGGTGTAATGGTTCATCCTCCTGGTGTGAAACAGCTAGTCTTTGGACATGTGAAGTCTGGTCCTAGGGCTTGTGCCAATGATTACAATGACACAAAGAGGAACTAATTTACATTTAAAAAGTTTTTGAACTTTATGCCTTGTGTCTGTTTACTTATTACTTCTTTAAGGTCTCTCTAGGAAATTGGCTTTAAGAAGTTGCAGAATGAGAGAGGAGAAAAGTTCCACTAGGCAACCTGGAGGAGGAATCTCTCCTTTCCGGGTTGCCCTTCTAAAAAGATGTTTCAGGAGCTCAGGGCTCTAAGGAAATGGAAGGTTAGCCTTGGAAGTAGCCACCCTAGTTAGTTGTAAGCAATATTTGGTTCACACTAAAAGGCATGGCAAGGTTTTTATAAAAGTGGGGCAGCCTGGGAGCCAAATCAGAGTGGGTGGTGGACTTCGGTGGGAGCTGTCCACAGAGTGAATTAGTCTCTGACTGACATATCTAAGAGCCTTGGGCATGTCAACTCCAGTCTGTGTCTGCCTTTTCTCTGTGTGATCATTCTCCATTCAACATTTTTGAAGATACAATTTTCACATAATAAAACACACCCATTTGAAACTCAGTCTGAGGAGTCTGTCAAATGGATACACCCGTGAAGCCATCATTATAATCAAGACAGGAAGCTTTATCGTTTTGTAAAGTTTCCTCCTGCAAGCAATGTCTACCCTCAATTCTCTGCCTTGACAACCACTGCTCTGCTTTCTCTCACGATGGATTCATTTGGTATAATTCTAGAGATAGTGCCATATGACACGCCATTATTGAATCCCCCTTATTTTGCTTGGCAGACTGTTTACAGATTCATCCAGTCTGTTGGGTATTCTAGTAGTTCATTCTCTTTGATAGCAAAGTAGTAGTTTACGCCCATGATGAGTCTTCCCTTCCACAATACACACATTATACTGTTTATCCATTTTTTTTGTTGGTAGATATTTGGGTGTTTCCAGTTTGGGAATATGATCAATAATCCTTTTATAAACATTTGTGTTCAAGTCTGTGAGTCTACTTTTTTTTTTAAATGAAAGTATCTATGAGTAGAACTATACATCAAATACTGATCGTACTGTAAATTCATGTTGAACTCTCTTAAGAAATTTGAAAATCGGTGTCCATTTTATACTGACACCAGCAATGCATAAGAATTCTGGTTGCTCCTTTGTCATCATTAGTACCTTAGCTTATCAGTTTCTGAAATATTCCTATGCCTTCCTAGCCATTCCAGAAGTTTTAGTAAGGGGTGACCCTAGAAACACACTTAAAGCTATTTTCCATTGTGCTCCTTCCCTCTGTAGTGGTTAATGACAACTTCCATACGCACTAGATATTCCTGCACAGCACATATGCCTCTTATGTCTATGATAAGTACAGGATGGGCCCATATGGCCTCTAAACATCAGAATCTAGATGCCTACTTGCTCCCCAATGAAACTGCTTGCAGTTACTATTTAAGTGATCACCCCTGTTACTTAGATATTCTCAATAAAGTGTTGACTGTGAGCCAAAGGTGGTCATAACTGACAAGAGGAATACTGAGTGATAAGCATCAAACAGCTGCCTAAGGTAATTAGCCAATTTGCTGAGCACATAATCAACAATTAAATCCAGCAAATTTTATGTTGTAGGGCTGCCTAGTAAAGATTAAATCCATTTTAATTTGCTTCATAAATTGTGATAGATATTTCACATCAATCTTCACCTCTAACCTATTGAGTTGTCTTTCCAAAGACTGATGTAGGGCAAATATGTTTACAGGTTTGAGATACTGGTCAGGAGGAAGTTCTCTGGCTTCTCATTCCATTAATAGTTCATTGTCTCTGGCTGTGATAGAGTGTCATGCAGGAACTGGACAGGACTATAATCCAGTTGAAATATTTCTTCTGTAGACATTATGGGAAAGAAAAGGATTGCCATACTGCAATGTCACTTAGGAATCATGAAGGCAAGCTGGGGTTTGTGGATAATTTGATTCAGAAGAAAAAATTCAAAAGGAAAACAAGCTAATATTTTAGAAGAACTTGCTCCAGATGTGTACAATTAACGAGAAAGAGTAATCTAAGATTTGTAGGAATTTTATATATTTTTCCTCAAAAAACAAAACAAAACAAAACAAAACAAACAAACAAACAAACCCAGCCATTTGTTAAGGGCATTGAGTTTCTTTCCTGAGTTCTGCCAGACAGTTAAACAAAAATGTATAAGAATTCTTAAAGGCTTCGAACTTGTAAAAAATTGAATAGATTATAATGGCATCTTTTTTCCTGATTCCAGTAGCCAGTGTGGGCATTTGGATGCTAATTTCAGAAGGGCTGTGAGCTCAGAGGGAGCTGTGTGGTGTGATAGCTACTCAGCTCCTCCCAATGCTCTTTCCTCAGAAAAAGAGAACATTGATGGCACCATAGCATTTACCTCTGTGCAGCTAGTTAATGTCAATGTGACAAAAGTTAGAGTCAAGTGAGAAGGAGAGACCTCAATTGAGAAAATGCTCCCAACCAGACTACTCTGTGGACAAGACTTGGAACATTTTATTGTTTTGTGTTGAATGGTAGGAGGACCCAGTCCACTGTGGGTGATGCCACTCTGGGTTGTTGTTGGTCTCGGGTGCTATAAGAAAGCAAGCTGAAAAAGCCATGGGGAGCAAACCAGTAACCAGCATTCCTCCATGGCCTCTGCTTTGGTTCATGCTTTGAGTTCCTGCCTTGAGTTTTCTGGATGATGGATTATAATTAAGGCAAAATAAACTCTTTCCTCCCCAAGTTGCTTTTGGTCATGATGTTTCCTCAGAGCAATAGAAGCCTAAGTAAGACCTATCTTCTACTCAGCAGACAGCAATGCTTTCAGATGAACAGGGAACTGTCTTGGATACTTGAGATTTAATGATTTGGGATATATTAATTTTTTAAAAATTATGCTTAAACTATATTTACAGAAGGAGAAGGAGAGGGAGGAGGAAGAAGAGTAGGAGGAGAAAGAGGAGGAAGAGGAGAAGGAGGACAAGAAAAAGGTGGCAGAGATTTAAGCTATTTTGTGAAAGAACTCTGTGACTCCATATAAAGATTTAATACATTTAAAAGCAGTATTAGGAAAATATATAATTTAATTTAACCATGTTGCTTTTTAAGATACTGACAATGTAAAAAACCTTGCATTGCCTAAATATTGGCAAAGAACCCTAAAGCACAGGAATTAAAATAGTTTCAGAGAAGGAAGGGGAGGCCATAAATAACTCGAAGCACACACCTAACGATAGCTCTCTTTGTTGGATATTGATGGTGTTTTGTAGATGAGGCAGCAGATTCCTGAAGAGAAAGTGACTGGCCTGGGACAAAACAAGAGCTCACTAGCCATGAGTCCCTGAGAACAGATTGCACGTCAGTACTGCTCCTTCAGTGCAGGGCCAAAAGTTGGCAAGTCAGAAAACAGGATCCATGATTGGCAGTGTGAGAACCAGTGAGGTGTCTGACAGAGCTGCCAATCTCTAGAGTAGATCTATCCACTTGGACACACCCCACTTACATTTCTGTCCTAATAAGGAGTTTAAAATATTTTTCTAGTTTAGATATTATTCTCTACAGGCCCACATGTCTTTAAAAGTTTATACTTTTAAGAACAACAAGATACTGTTGGGTAACTGGTATCACCTGAGGACACATTAGAGATGGAACAGATTGTCCTCTGTTTGATAGAATTAATTCTGGTGCCTATAGTACTCCAAAGTTACTTTATTTGGTGGTGTCCTTTTATGTAATAAAATTCTCTGTTTGCTCACTGCACTTGCATGACGCTTCCTAAAGGAGCTGTAGTTTACTTGTATCTGAGCTCATGTAATCACTTCCTTGGCCTTT